AACAAACCCTGAATTCCCATCCACATAACTAACTCAATCAAATGCACTAATAGTCTCTGGTAAACTATTCATTTCATTATATATTTTGAGTGAGGTGTTTTTGTTTATTTGTTTTATTTTTTAAAAATTAAAAAAATTATTTTAAAATTATATAATTTTAATAAAGTATTATAAGAAAATAATTTAATTCATATTTTAAAAATATGATATTTAATTTTTTTCATGAAAATTTATTAAAACGACATCATTTTAAAATAATTTTTTTTTTAATTTTTAAGAGAATAAAACTGATATATACTATTTCCTTTGACTAATGTTAAAGTTAAAATTTTTATTAAGACATTTGTAATATTTTTTTATTTTTTTCGAAAATTTTCATTTGTTAAAAAGAAACCTCAGTCAATTAAACACTAATTTTTTTTTTTTAAAAGGCAATGAATTATACACTAATTATACATCATATAAATGAGTGTTTAATTTTTTTATTTCAACAAATTTTTTTAACTCTTTCATTTAATTAAAAAAATTTAGTAATAATTTTATATCCTATAAAAGCATTATTTAAATTTACATACAAATTTAATAATTTACATAACTAAGGAACAAAGGTGTATAATTCATATTTAAAATTATTGTTTTATGTTTCACAAACTACATATTTTATAACTGCTAATTGGAAAAGATCACCTCTATGTGTGTAGATAGAATGTGCAGTTCACATCACTATCAATTCTCTGTTACTAATATTGCAGTTTGCTCCATTTTTTCGCTTAGGATGTCGAAGCTTCGTGTCCTCTGACTTTGTAGAACTGTTTTCTCCAAGATTATAGTAGAATTTATCTGTTTTTATTTTTTCTACAATGGCGGCTTCCGTCCCCGATGAGCCACTGACACCCTCCGGCCGTCTTTTTCTCCGTCCGGAACTGGACACCATCATCCACTGCATCATCCGTGGGAAGGACCCCATCAACGTAGATGCTGTGAAATCCACTATTGCTTCCTCCCTCATGCTCCAGCACCCCAGATTCTGCAGCCTCTTGGTGCGGGACCGTAACGGGAGGGAGTATTGGAGAAGAACCCAGGTGGACCTAGACCAGCATCTCATTGTGATAAACCATCGAATTGGGACGGCAGATTATTCCGGTGCCAATGCTGAGGAGGCGGCTGTGAACCAGTACGTGGCGGATTTGACAGTGAGCACTCCGCTGAGTACGGATAAACCGTTGTGGGAAGCTCACCTCCTGATGGCCCACAGGTGCGCCGTGTTCCGGATTCACCACGCGCTGGGCGACGGGATCTCCCTGATGTCGATTGTGATGGGGTGCTGCCGGAGGATCGATGATCCGGAGGCCCTGCCCACCATGATAACAAAGAGGGATTTGGGTCCCGGAGGCGGGAAATGGTGGGATCGGATAAGGCAGGTTTTGATGATGTTGTGTTTTGGTTTTGTGTTCGCATTGGAGTTCATTTTGAGAGCTCTCTGGGTTCGTGACCGGAAAACGGTGATCAGCGGCGGTGCCGGGGTGGAGCTCTGGCCGAGAAAACTGGCAACGGCCAAGTTGTTGATTCAGGACATGAAAGTGGTTAAAAAGGCTGTCGACAATGCTGTAAGTGAGAAGATTCTGCTATTAATTACTTTAAATAAAAAAAAGAGTCCGTTCCAAATTTGGAATTATAATAAATGAATTATTAGGTGGCTCCACTTTATGTCAACATTTATGTTACGTATATTTAATGTTTTAATAGTTTTAATGTT